TCAAGTTGGATGAGTTACGCCGTAGTAAATCGTACGTATTATAGGCTAGTAAATGACGAATTTCCCTTGTTTATTGATGTCAACTCCTCCCTATTTCTATGATTTAATGATTTATATATGCTCCTCCCCACTGCCACGATCCCCCTTTAGCATTAGGTTTGCTAATGTATTGTATATTGTATACGTATATATACACTCCTCTCCCCCTCCACCATTCCCCCCCCCCCCGCGTTCTAGTCTGGCGCCGCTCACCGATGTTGGTGTTGGTGCGTACTACGTAGATGCCGCCACGGTCCGTCGAGAATTCGACGGCGCCATTCTCCACGGTTCCCTCGAGCCGCTGCCATGAGACAAAGTTCTGCGTGTTCGCGTGGTACACTTCCACGTCCTTGTGCGAGTCAAGGTCAATCTTCATCGTGAACCTGTGAAGCATATGTCAGTAATGTTGGTGGTGTAGCAGCAAAGGTATACAGCAGGGGCCGGTTTCACGAAGCGTACTTAAGTATTTAATCATGATTAAATCACTAATCATGATTAACTTCCCGTACTTAAATTGAAGTGACTGTTTCACGAAGCGTAATTAACTTTAATCATGATTAAGTTAATCACAATATTTAATTCTACTCAGAAGCATGATTAAATCCACTAATCATAATTAGTTGCTAGTACTAGAAGTAGTATTGAGGTAGTACTAGTATATTAAGTACGCTGCAGATTTTACAATTGGAAATTTTACTTCAATTTTTTCCCAAGGAAATTTAAATTATCTAAGATTAGCTAAGAAATCGGCCCCAGGATGATTGATAAACATTGAATCACATTGATAATGATTCAAATTGATAATGATTGATCAGATTGAATCCCTACGTTTTGACGTAGCCTCGTACATCGCTGCCGTATATACAACATACACCAAAGCCCTAGCTAGCGGGGGCTAGCGGGTGGGTAAGGGTGCACCCCCCCCCCAACACACACAAACACAGACCAATACAGATACAGATACAGATTCAGGTCAATGGCGAACTGCCACGGTCGCCCCGAATTGCACAGGACACAAACCGCACGCGAATTTGCCAACCGCGGGCAAAACGAGCTGCCTACACTCCTGTAAATGCAAACGTCTATACTCTAGCCTATCAGCTGGGATTCACCACTCATTGTGAATTGGCATTACTCATTGGCATTACCCTTCACAAACCCGCTATTCCGACATGAACACTTCCTTGGTTATCGAACAAGCGTGCGAACATTGCGTGGACTGATGCTCTATCGCTCTTCACCAACGAAGCATCAATGTATTACTGTATGAATGTATGCTTATTTATGCATTAATTACTTCCGCGCAACGAAGTTGCAGGGAGGTAATGTGATCCCTCTCGTGTGATACGTTCGTGTGTGTGTTCGTGTGTGTGTTTGTGTGTGTATTCGTGTGTGTGTGTAGCCAGCAGCGAGCCAGCTCTTATACACATGTATACATGTATACAATGTTACACGCGTTGGCGCGATCGATTCAGCACCAGCTCGCTTTATAGTCGGTTTGCCGGCCCTATATTCACGCACGCACGCACGCAAGCACACACATTTATTCTCGGTATACCGCTGCACTTCCCGGAAGCCACCGCATAAGTACACCGCACATCTCAGTCGGTCGGAGATGCGAAGCGATGTCGACATGTATATATATTGGGGTATTATTGGCTTATAGGGTCCGCAGGCGTTGACAACGTCACAGCTGCCGCACGACATGTCGTACTATCTCTCTCTCTCTCTGTCTCGAGATCGTGTTTTGCTGTGTGTTTGTGTGGTGTTTACACCCAATTACCTGCGAATCGAGCGGGTTTATGAAGTTGGTCGGCACCGTGGTCGTCAGGCCGTTCTGCATGGACAGTGGCCGCAGGGGACGGACGGACAATGAGCGCTTGCGTCGCTCGACCGTTCCCTCGGCAACCGCGCACGCATCCTCCGCCTCTTTCTCCCGCGTTAGTGAGCCCTCTAGCATCCCCGAGCTCTCGTTCGTCTTCTCATCTGCATTGTTATTGGTCGCGACGATATCGCCGTTGACCTTAACGCCGCTGGCGTCCATCTTGGAAGGCGACAGGCGGCTATTTGTTTTGCTTCTTCTGTGTTAATGTTTGTCGGGCACTGCCTTCGCTAGCCTGTACCGCTGCGAGCATCATTTCACTTCTTCGAGGCGCTAACACTTAAATCTAGGAGTTTGTTTCGCGCATGCGCGTTGATGGGCGTATATCCTTTGCGCGGGACCGTGTCCCTCTGGCGGCGGCTGTGATCACCACATGAACGTCTCTCGGGCGCGAGGCCGAGCATTGCCAGGTTGACTGGTAAACCGGTCAGTTGCTCTAGATCTCCCTTCAGTGGTGGAAATATAACAACACGCGATACAATCAAAATAAGTAAGTGTGCGAACGTATACCGACTACCGCGGCGCTCGCTAGCGTGGTGTTGCCAGTATGGAGCGAGCGGCAGTACGGGATTGGCGATCAAAATACACACACACATACACGCACACACGCACGCACGCACGCACGCACGCACGCACGCACGCACGCACGCACGCACGCACGCACG